CCGAGGGCCAGGCCCTCCCCTGATCCAAGAGGCAGGTGCTCCTGCGAGCTGCCTCTCGTGATGCAGTTGCCTTGTGTTGCAGGGAACGTGTACATCCACCCGACGGCCTCCATTCACAGCACTGCGGTGGTGAGTGCAGGCCTGGGGGCTGCTGCAGCAGGGTGATGCTCGGAGGTGCTGAGGGTGCTGTTGTCCTTGACCTTATCGACTCCCTCTGTCCTCATAGCTGGGCCCAAACGTCTCCATTGGGGAGGGGGTGACGGTGGGAGCTGGTGTGCGCGTGCGAGAGTCCATTGTCCTGCACGGTGCCTCACTCCATGTAAGTAGGTTTTGCCTGAGGGTGTGGCTGTCAACCCCCACCCCTTGCAGGGAGGCAGCAGCACTCTCACCCCCTCCTCCTTTGCCCCAGGACCACACCTGTGTCCTCAATACCATCGTGGGCTGGGACAGCACCATCGGGCGCTGGGCCCGGGTTGAAGGAACGCCCAGTGACCCCAACCCCAATGATCCCTATGCCAAGATTGACAGTGAGACCCTCTTCCGGGATGGGCGCCTCACGCCATCCATCACCATCCTGGGTATGTCCTACTTGCACCCAACTGCCCCGGCCCCCCGCAGCGGAGCAGAGTCTCTCCCCTCCTGCTAACCCACTCACTCTCTCCGCACAGGCTGCAGTGTCACCATCCCCGCTGAGGTCGTTATTCTCAACTCCATTGTCCTTCCTCACAAGGAGCTGAGCCGCAGCTACAAGAACCAGATTATCCTGTGAGTCAGCTCCTCGCTGGGTTGAGGGGAGGCCAGTGCCAGCCCCCGACTCCCTGCTGTGCCCACAGCAAGAGCCTGTGCTGGGGCTTCACGTGGGAGGTTCCCAGCACTCCCAGAGGGGTAGGTGCAGGCCAGGAGCCTTACAAGTGCCTGACTCCTACTCCAGACAGACATTAAAGCTGGTGAGCCTCAGCCTTGCATGCTGCTTCTCTTGCAGCCCAGGGAGCGGTCCTGGGGTAGGGTGAAGGCTTCGGGGACAGCACGTGGCCCTGGCACCAGGCTGCGTGCCCTTGCAGAGAGCCCTGGGCTGAGGGAGCACTTGCTGCCTGCAGTATCTCGAGTCCTGAGCTTTGGGTGTTTCTCCACTAAAGGGCACTACCAGCACAGTCTTGCCACCCCTCACCAGGCTCTCCCTGCTCTGCAATAGTTGCTGTCTGCAGCTCCCTGGAAGGTCTTGGCCCATCTCAGAGGCTGGGGAGCTTTGAATGTGCCTGTCCTGCGTAGGCAACCCGCCCTGCAGGAGCAGTTGTAAGGATCCCAATTTCAGCAACACGATTGCAACAGCCTGAGCTGGACTCCTGCCTACCAAAACACAGCAGCACCAGGCTGTCCTAAGGGCACTGGCGCATGAGGACTGGGTTGGACAGGCAGGCTGCTGGCCCTGGAGGAAGCTGCAAAAGCACCCCTTCCCCCAGCACCACCTCTGCCCCCGAGGGTTCGGTATGAGCCAGGAGAGCTGCCAGCCCTGCCGAGCCTGCTTCCGTCAGGCTGAGACCTGCGCAAGCTGCCTGGGCAGGGCTCACAGTGGCGGCAGTGGGCCCCTGCCACCCTGGTGGGCCAACAGCCTCTTCCGCACCAGCATGGCTGTAGCTTGGGGGGCTTGCTGCACATCTCCCCTCGCATCAGCCACATCTACAGGGCACCGGAGCAATCAACTGGCATGTGTGCAAGATCTACCACCTTGCTGTGTCTCAAAAAACCTGTTTTTATTGAAGGCACTCCCTGCTGATCTGTCTTTGGTAACCAACGCTGCCCTTTATCCCCTTACCTCCCTGTGTTCTCCTCTGGTTTTGGAGCTCTGTGCTAAAGCCCTGCACTCCACGGAGGGCCCCATCACACCTCTCGCCTTCAGTGAGACATTGCATTAGGGATTCTCCATCCATCCAGTACCACCCCAGTTTGATGGATTTGCAGTAAATTCTCGCTCCCAGCCCTGTGCCTTCCTGTGCCAGTTCTCCTGTGGTCCTGGGCAGGGATTGGCTGTTCCCTGGCTTTAAGCACATTAAACTCCTTCAGTTTTGCCTCTGCCTTAGATGTGCTAATTTCCTTGCCTGCTGGTGAACACCCCTGTGCTGGGGTACTGAGCCGAAGTACTTGCATTGAGGATTGTACATGAATTTTCTCCTGTGTCCCACATCTGGCCTGGGTTTTTGTATGGACAAAGGTTTCTCAGCTGCTGGACGTGGCCCTGGGGCAGTTCTCAGCCCTGTTGTGAAAGCCCCTTTTCCTTAAGCTCCCCTCCTCATGGCTGTCCCTTGTGCAGAGTTATCTGGGGGACAAGGTCTTCCCGACGTTTGCTCCATTACAGCCTCAGCCAGCTTCCCCCTCTTGGAGGGAGCGTGAGCTGTGCATCCCAGCCCTGCTTGGGCTTTGCAGCTCCAGGGCTGGAGGGGAGGAAGGAGTTAAAGGGGCCTCCGCTGAGGTGCCAGAAAGTCTGGAAATGCTTTGAGGTTGTCCTGCCCTGAGCAGCAGCAGCTCTGATTACTTGAGGCCAACATCTGGGCTGAAAGAGGGGCCTCCCACATCCTGGGCTCCAGGGCAGGGAGAAGAGGGCTTCAGCTAGGGCAGGAGGGGGCTCTGCCTGCCCTCCCCTCCCTGCCCAGCAAAAGCAGGGGTTTTGGGGAGCACTGCTCACCCTTGCTGTCAGTACAGCTCATGTCTGCTGCCCAGCCAGGCTGTGTCATGCCAGTGAGCCCCAAACCCTGGCACCTGGCAGCAGCAGGGAGGGACAGACAGCAGCCAGAGCCAGGCTTGTTTTGCTGCAAACATTTAATACAAACCAGGCCTTAAGTACAGCGCTGGCACAGCGTCCCTGCCACCGCAGCTGGGCAGAGACAGCCCTGCTCCCCAGTCCCCAGGGAAGCAGAGCATGGCTTGGAGCTTGGCACCACCAGCCCACAGGCAGCTGCCTGGTCCCGCAGGCTTCGCTCCTCCTCCGGTGCCAGCTCCGTGCCCCCAGGGGGCCACTGCAGCAGGCTACACCGGAGAAGGGAAGAACCGACCCACCTTCCTCGGGGCCGGCCCCTGCCTGTGTGGGGAGAGATGAGTCAGGGGTACAAAGTGAGCTCCCCTGGGCCCCCCACCCATGCCTGGCAGCACTCACGGGGGCCGGGCAGCCGTGCCCACGCAGCTCCGCAGGGTGCTGGGGAGGCAGCAGGTGCCAGCTGGGCTCAACTGGCCTGACTTGGGCTCCGGGGAGGCGATGGGGCGGAAGAACAGCTCTGTGGGACAGAGGAGGGGGACAGTTTCCACACCCCAGCCCAGCCCCAGGCAACCAGGACCCTTCAGCAGCCACAGGGCAAGGGCAGGGAGGGGGCTGGGGCTCCCATGCCTCACCACGTTCGCCCCTTGGGGTTGGTGTCGGCACCAGGTTCTCCTGCTCCATCCCCATGAAGCCTCTCCAGAAGTCAGGCGGCAGCGAGAGGAGCTGAGCCACCACCTGGGCAGGGAGGGATGGAGGATGGGGAT